GCAATTATCTTGTAAACACTAGTCACTAGACTAATGGGTCGGAAATCCTTTGGATGGCTAGCATCACCTTTCTTTGGAATCAAGGCCAAGAAAGTCGCATTAACTCCAGGGCTAACAACATGTGTATTTAAAGAATTCCTTAAAGACTTCCAATAAATCATCTTTCAACACTTCCCAACAATCCTGATAGAAAGCCATTGTGAATCCATCTGGGCCTGCTGCTTTAGACCTATTCATGGAGAACACTGCCTTTCTTATTTCTTCTTCCTCAAAATCTCTTTCGAGCCAATTTGCTGCCTCCTCATCTAGCAAAGGCCACTCCAAACCTTCAAATCTCAATCTATCCACTAGAGGTTTCCTATAAAGAGATTTAAAGTGGTCCACGTACAAAGATTTTGGCAATTTCATCTTGATTTGAGATTAGCTCTCCATTGATTTCCAACCTAGCCACAGAATTTTTGCGCCTTCTTCCATTGGCGATCGCATGAAAGAATTGTGTATTCCCATCCCCTTCCTTTATCCATTTTTGTCTTGACTTTTGTCTCCAAGATATTTCCTCTCTCTTGAGGACTTCTTCCAATTCTTTTTTTGATTTCCATCTTAAATCCCTCTTTTCCGCACGGAGATTTCTCTCAATTTCTACATTGTCCAACTCTTCAATCTGGGAAATTAGAGTCAGTTTCCTTTCTTTTAACCTTCCAAAATGATCCCTATTCCACTCCTTTATTTTAGATCTTAATCTTTGCAATTTCTTATGGAATTTGATTCCTTCCCACCTTATTCCTCTTAGTTCCTCCTTCCACCAATCCTCCACTTTTCGAATAAAATCTGGATGCATCAACCACATGTTTTCAAATTTGAAAGGAGCAGGGCCATGCTCCACCATTCATCGGCCTGCCTTTGTTGGAATCACCATTGTTGACCACTGCTCAAAACCAGTCACTTAAAATTAGCTGAATCATATGACTGCTAGTGAGCTTTTACAAAACGGGAAATGGTTCTGCTTTGTAAAGCATACTTTACAAATTTTTTATCCAAACGGTTTCACAGCAAAAATACCAACACGAAAGTAGTTTATGTACTTTATATTTTGGTACTATTAAAAGTACAAAAGTAGAAGTCTATCCAAACAGCGCCTAAAATGGTTGAAAGGAAAAATTAAGGCTTGGCAGAAGGTATTTTCGAAGAGTGAGGTGGAAAAAAGGGAAGAGTGTATGAAAATTATAGCTAACATTGATGCAAAGGAGGGTGGGTCTTTGGATGAGGAGAAAAGGAGGAGAAGGCTCTCAGCTAAGAAGGTGTTGGATACTCTGATGCACCAAGCTGAAGTCAAATGGAGGCAAAGAGCTCGAGTAATGTGGCTGAAAGCAGGTGATAACAATACTGCTTTCTTCCACAAGGTGGCTGTGATAGAACAAGAATTGGAAGAAATTGATGTCCTTTTCAACTGAGAAAATAGTACATATATATACAGCCTTGTGGATACTAAAATAGGAGGAAAATCAACTACCTCCTCCAAGAATAATTCCTATAATCAAGCTATTCCTAATTGGGCTAATACTCCATAATTACAGCCTATAATTACAACCTATAATCTCGTAACAGTGGCCAATGCAAGAAAGAGGGTTAATTCCATAAAAAAACTGGAATCGGAAGGAAGGGCAGTGAATAATAAGGAAGACATAGCAGATGCCTTTGTTGGTTATGACTGCTTATCTGAGCAGCAGGCTTCAGACTTGGAAAAACCCTTCTCAGAAGAAGATGTAAAGAAGGTTTTAAAAGAAATGGAAGGGGAGAAGGCACCAGGCCCGGATGGTTTCACAATGCTGTTTTTTAAGAAGATTTGGGAGCTCATTGAAGCTGATTTATTAAAGGTTGTGGAGGAATTCCATGATTCTGCAGCCATTGAGAGAAGCTTAAATGCAACTTTTATTTCCCTCATCCCCAAAAAGAAAGGAACTACAGAGCTGAAAGACTTTAGACCAATCAGCTTGGTTAGAAGTGTTTACAAGATCCTAGTTTCTGGCCACCAGGTTAAGAAAGGCGATGGATTCCTTGATCTTCAAGTACTAAGGGGCTCTTGTCCACAATAAGCACATTCATGATGTAATTCTCATAGCTAATGAACTAATAGACTCAAGGTTAAGTGGAGAAAGTGGGCTAATCTGCAAAATTGACTTAAAGAAGGCTTATGACCTTGTTAATTGGTCCTCTTGGATTATTTATTGAACAGAATGCACTTCGGCTCTTAGTGGAGAAGTTGGATGAAAGTTTGCCCTTCCACTCCAACATTCTCAGTGCTTGTAAACTGAGTAATTAAAGGAAATTTTAGCAGTTCAGAGGTTTGAGGCAAGGGGACCCTTTGTCTCCTCTTCTCTTTCTAATAGTCATGGAAGGTTTAAGCAAAATGGTAGATATAGCTGTGGAGAGGGAGCTGGTGGAGGGCTTCCAGGTGAAGCCCAATGGGACTGCTATTCCAATTCCGCAATATGCTGATGATGGTACACTCTTGTTCTGTAAGGCTTCAGAGGAGCAAGTTCTGAATCTGAAGTACCTGCTATTCTGGTTTGAGATTGTGTCAGGCTTGAAAGTAAATCTAGCAAAAAGTGAGATGATAGCAGTGGGAGAGGTCTCTAACATCCAGGGTCTGGCAGGTTTTTTGGGTTGCAAGGTTGGTCAGCTACCTTTAAATTATTTGGGGTTGCCATTGGGAGCCAAATGCAATTCTAAAGCTATTTGGAACCCTATAATAGAAAGAGTGGATCAGAAATTGGCTACATGGAAAGCAAGGTATCTCTCCAAAGGTGGGAAGGTAACACTCATTATGAGTGCCTTGGCAAGTTTGCCAACATACTTCATGTCTCTTTTTTCAATCCCCTCAGAGGTGGTGGATGTTTTAGAAAAAAGATGAGGGATTTTTTGTGGGTGGAAGGATTCACACATACCATCTTGTAAACTGGGGTCAGATTTGTAAACCCTTTATCTCAAGGGGTGTTGGGGATAAGGAGCTTAAAATCTTTCAACCTAGCTTTGCTAGGAAGTTGGCTGTGGAAGTTTGCTGCTGAACCTGACAACCTTTGGAGGAAAGTAATAGCAGAAAAATATGGGATGGTTGACAGTGGTTGGGGTAGTGGTCCACCCATGCGACCTATTGGTGTAGTCTGTGGAAAGGAATCTGCAGAGATCCAAACCTATTCAAAAGAGGAATCGGATTCAAAGTAGGGAATGGGAGAAGGATCAGGTTCTGGTTGGATCCCTGGACTGGGAGAGTAACCTTAAGGAGCTGTTTCCCACCCTGTTCAGTTTGGCAGAAGATAAAGAGGCAATGGTAGTTATTGATCAAAAAAAAAAAAAAAGAGGCAATGGTAGCTGTTACTTTTGTGATAAGGGACAATGCTATATACTGGGTTCCAGCCTTTAGAAGGGGCTTCAATGACTGGGAGATTCATCAGGTTGGAAATCTCCTATCTTTGCTTCAGTCTCAGGTTTTGAATCTGCAATCCGAGGATTCTCTAGTGTGTAAATGGAACAGAAATGGGGAGTTTTCAGTAAATCTTTCTACAGCTCCATGGTGGGAGGTTTTGAAGCCCTCTTCCCTAGCCGGGCCATTTGGGGGACAGTGGCGCCCTCAAAAGTCAAGTTTTTTGTATGGGTGGCAGCTTTAGAGAAGTGTCTCTCCAAAGAGATGTTGGTGAAGAAAGGTTATAACTGCAGTGATCTGAGGTGCAGCTTCTGCAGTGTGAATACAGAATCAGTCAACCATCTGTTTTTACATTGCAAATTTGTCTCAAAGATCTGGAACCACTTCTTAAGTAGTCTGAGGTTAAGTTGGTGTATGCCTGCCTCAGTTAAAGCTTGCCTGGAGGCTTGGCAGATCCAAGGGATGACTAAAAAAGGAAAGATTTGCTGGTCTTCTATTCCCTTAGCAATTTGTTGGTGGTTTGGACAGAAAGGAATAGCAGGGTTTTTTATCTCAAACCCTCTACTGAAGCAGAAATCATCAAATATGGCTTTAGGTTTTGTTAGAAATTGGTTGTCTATACTTACTGACTTTAAAGAGGTTACTTCTGATTGTAGTTTTTTGAGGTCCTTCTGGCTTTTTATGTACAGCTTCTCAATGTCTTTGTACAAAGGACCTTTACATTAATACAATTATACTTTACCTTTGCTAAAAAATAAATAAATAAAAATGCCACTTCTGGATAAATCTCTTTACAATAGTATTTCATTCATATATACCGTATTAAGTTAATAGTCTGAACAGTTTATCGATCCTCCTATCTCATTACATATTTAATGAACTTCCTTGATGCATCCCTTTATCCTATTTCTGCAATTTCTCAGTCGTTTTTCACAACTTTTTGCTTTTGTTTTCTCCTTTCCCATTTTTCTTTTGGTTAAGTTGATTCTCTTTTCTTTTTGCTGTCTAAGTCATTACAATTTATGTCCCTTTATCAACCAAATTCTGATCTTTTGCTTGTTCAGATGCTACTCAGACACTGATGGCTGAACCTCGAAACTCTGGTAGATATGTTTCATCTGGTGGTTATCATGTTCAAGGACATCAGGGAAGCATGAGCAGTGAGGAGCCCAGTGAGACAGCACTCAACGGTCACATGCCTCACTTTCAATCCCATGATTATGGTGCAGTTGCTGCTGATGTGGGGGTATCCAAATGGCAATCGAAAGGAAAACGGAATCTTCGCAACTTATCCAAGAAGCCCATGGAGGTTATGGATGGAAAGAGTCACTATGGATCCATTCAGGAAACATACATTGAACGGAAGGGAACAAACTTCAACCAGAAGGCATTAGACCAGGGGCTTTACCATAGAAATGAGGAGTTAGATTATATCTCTGATGAGGATGATTTAATTGAGGACTCTCTGCGATCACAAATGGTTGGATTTGATCGCAGAAAATACCCATTAACCTTAAAATCAGCTTCCAAAGAACCTGGCAGAATCAATACAGACATAGCAGATTCAGAGGAAGACTTGATTTGGAGGGCCAGTGGGTTATCTCACTCCACCCTTAGAGGGTATTGGGAAGAACCAGATGAGTGCCTTGATCCATTGTATGCTGGTCATCGTCTTCACAATGGTATGGACTTGGTTGATGTGGATTTGAAGGTTCAAACACAGACAAGCTATCAAGGGGAGCATGTACCTTTGGTATCTTTAATGAGCAAATTGAATGGGAAAGCAATTATAGGGCATCCTATCCAAATTGAAGTGTTAGAGAATGGATCCTCTGATCTTCTGCCTACAAATGATGATTTTGGTGAGGAACTGTTTGGTAATGATGGAAATACAGCACTTCCACCAGTGTGGAGAACAGCCAGAAGAACAGCCATGCATCGTGTCCCACGCCCTAAGCTTTCAGCAGCATTAGTGGATGATGAAGCAGGCAATGAAGCCGCTGCCCTTGGTCCACCTTTAGATCATGGAAACAAGTCATTGTACAAGAAACCATATTTAGGTTATTTAAGTCACAAGGCAAGGTTGGTGAAAAAGAGCTGCTCTCAGATTCGCCGGCCTCCTCCAATAACAGAAAAGAAGTCCCCAAAGAAGCTATTGAAGAAAGTGAGCTTGTCTAGCCAGAAAATAAGAACCCTGTCTTCAATTCCCATTGAGCAGAAACACCATAGCAAGGGTTTGAACCTAAAATTTGCAAGCAAAAATAACCTGGATGGGCTGATCAACCCAGAAGAGACTGGACCCACGACGGTTACTTGCATCCCTGTGAAACTAGTATTCAGTAGGTTACTGGAAGCAGTTGGTAGGCCTCCATCCAGAGCAGCAAATTATGGGGTTCTGATGAACGGCAATCCAGAAAGGAAACCACTATAGTATCCATTTTAGATTGTTACATGGGGGATCAATAATGTTGTACCACCGAATCCCCAGGCTTCAACTCAATTTGTACATTAAAAGCATTCATCAATTCAGGGCAAATTTCCAATGTCTCCTGATCTGTTAGTCTGCTTTTCAGGTATCAATAGAGAGTCTTCCATTGAAATGCCAGCAAAGTTCATCGATCGAAGTACTGTAAGTGCTTCAGTCCTAATAATTCTCCCATGTCCCATCTACCACCTCCTTTCACCCCCCCACCTTCGAGAAGGGGCCCTGGACCATTGGACTAGCTTAGTCATGTAGCATTCATCTGATCAAAATACACAATACACTAAATTCCGTGTTACTCTTTCCTTTAATTCGACTGTATATTCAGGTAGGGATGGGCCAAGATTTGTGATGTATATTGGTGCTAAATTATGCCTTGTTGCCTTAATTTAATTCTGGATCAATGGCTGGACGTTAAGTTCATCGTAGGCCCCGTTGAAACAGAGAGAGAGAGAGACGTATTCCCTATTCTAATGCATGGAATTCTCGAAGCACATGTGTCACGGGGCTAGCGCAAGGAAGGCACTTGCTGGCGTGGCAAAGTTGTCACTTGTGACACGTGTCTGTTACTATGTTATAATGCCAATTATGCCATGAAAAACTTTCTCCTACATGGCATTAAGCATATTATTTGAAAAATATCCATTTCCTTCGCCGAAGGTGACACCAGCTAGGTTGGTCCCTGGCTGCAGGGGGTAGGGACATGGGGTTTGGGGGAAGGGCTACCCCACTCGGATGCCCTCTATTAAAGAAGCATGGTTTTTAAAATCGGATCGGACTGGACAGTTGGACCAGAAAAACTGGGAACTGGTCATCTGACGGATTCCGTTTTCCTCTAAAATCGTTTTTTCTTCAAAATCATTGATTTTGGTCAATAAACTGCTGAACCGGCCGGTTAATTGTTCAAACCGTTCGAACGGTTTTGATCGTTTTTCAATTTTTTAATTTCTTTTTTTTTTTGATAGAATGGACCGGCCGTTTGGGTCGAATGGTCAGACCGTTCAAACTGATAACCGGACCCCTGACCGGTTCGGTTGTCAGTTCGTTTTTAAAAACCATGCAAAGAAGTGTTTAAGTTCGCCAAATTGTTGTGGATTCTTTGAAAAAAATCTGTCAATCCACAGCCACTTAGAGGTGTCCCATCTGGTTTTGGAATATCAAACCACAATTTGATGTTATTTGACATGTGTTTATCGTTATGGAGGCACAAGCCTATCATTCCCAGACAGGTAATAGATTATTTAGGCAGCGTTTGGTAATTCTTTTTGTGCTGTCTTTTGGGCTTTGGCAGGCTCAGAAGACCGAAAATTGGTCTTTTCCGTTTGGTAACTAAAAGCCATAAAGATGAGAAGACACGTGCATGGAGAGACCTGAAAAGAGTGAAAATATTGAATTTCGGGAAGATCCAAATGAAATTTTCTGGTCTTTTTATGTGATATATAATCTTTAAATGCATTTTTAAAATCCCGATAAACCGAGCCGCTTACCAAACAGTTTTTTTCTTTAACACTGGAAATCTCAGTGAAGAATAAGTTTTAGCTGAGAAAAACCTACAAAAATATTTTATGCATATCTAATGCCTAAATTATGGAAAATAAGGTATCCAAATAAAATTAATGTAATTTTATATCTCATGTATAATTTAGGAAACCAAAATATATATCTTATTAATACTTAAAGTGCTGATTTTAATGTTAATTATTTCTTATTTTTAGATATTTCATTGACGCTTAAAAATACTAGTTTTAGTAATTAATTAAATTTTTCTATTTTTTCTATCTTTTGGTTGATACTTAAAAAATTACAAAGTGTGTTTTAAAAAGTTGAACTTTAAAATCATTATAGTTTTAATGTGTTCGTATAGTTTTTTGTTTTGGTTAAATTCATTCGTTCATTAGATCAAGAGGGATAAGGGGTCAAGAATTAGCCCCGGACAAGTCTCTTTGAGCCACTTTTTGAGCAAAAGTACATGGGCAGAGGAAACATCTGAGACTGAGAGCATAGCAACCAAACTAACAATATCCGAGATTATCGGGAAAAAGGGGGCTAAACTGAAAGACGAGGCGACCAAGGCAACTAAAGGAGCCCCAATTATGTGCTTGTCTCCTAGGCTGAAGCTTGAGCCTTGAGGGTAGGGGTGTTCATTGTTTGATTCAAACCGTAAATCAAATCAAACCAAATTATTTATATATACTAAATGCATAAAATTATAAATATATAATAATCTCTTTTACTTTATAATAAAATATAAGTTTTAAGTTTTAATTTTTAGGGATGCTATTTAGGATTTTTAATTGGGTTAAGCCAATAGAATTAAAGAATGGTCTAAAGTTCTCCAAATAATAATAAAATGGTTTGGTCTGATTTGGTTTAGCTCGAGATTTTTTCAAATCGTAATTTACTGATTTGGTCTAAGATCTTTTCTAAACTGCACCGAACTGGACCATGAACTCTCTTACTTGAAGGCCTACAATTATCTAGGCAATTGGGTTTTCTTTAATAAGGGTTGAAGAAGATGTTAGGACCCTGATGGATAGTAGTATAGTACTAAGCCTCCATGGCTCATCTCACAAGTCATGATTGCAATGCTTTCAAAATAAGGACTTCCAAAATATAGTTTTTTTTTTTTTTTTGCCTTATTCCCTTTTCATGTAATAAGGTGATGCATAATCTTGCTTAGCATATGTTGGGAAAATAGGCAATTATGAAATATTATATCCAAAAAAAAATGAGTGTTGCAAAAATGCAAATATTTATATGGATGAGTGGTAAAATTAGAGAAGAGAGTGTTAGAAATGAAGTCATACCAAGGAACCTAGGAGTACCTGTAATAGGTGGTAAAATGAGAAAATGTAGATTGAGATGGTTTGGCCATGTGCATAGAAGACCAATTACAACACCAATTAGAAAAAAAGTGATCTATTGCAAGTTGTAGAGGCTAGAACTATATAGGAGCAGACCAAAAAGGACTTGGGTGGAAGTAATTAGAAATGAATTAAGTACCCATAATTTTAAGGATTGATATGGTGCTAAATAGATTGAAATGGCAAGATAGGATTCATGTAGCTGACCATATATAGTAAAGACGAGGCTTAGATGACAATGATGATGCTCTTACTCAGCTTGCTATCTCTTTGCATAGGTCCAAAACCTATACAGTTGCTCCTCATTTGCAATCTCCCATGAGATGTGCCTTTTGCAGCTTGAATCAGCAGGTGATTAAAAAAAAAAAAAAAAAACGAGACAATCAATCACCAAATGCAAAGTTATGGTCTTGGAAAGTTTTCACAGCTCTTTAATTTTTTACATGGATTAGTAAACGTGTACGTGCTTTGCATGTGGCAATTTTTTTATGATGATTATTATAGTAACTAATATGTTTCCAAATTTTTAAATTTTTTATATTGCAATGTCTATAAAAATTATTCTTATTTGTCACACTTAATTGTTGTTTCATATGATGGATATATGATATTAGAGATGTGCCCAATTGTTTTCCGTGTTTTATTTGTATTTTTATTATAATTTTGTGTGTATTCATCATGTTTAACTTTTATTATTATAATTTAATTATGACATCAAGGGCTGACACATTTGTCCCAAACGGTTGAATTGTTGACTCACTACGAAATAGGAAAACAATTTCATTTCTAGGTTGGTTTTAAATTTGTCTTTTATTTCTGTTATCAATAAAAACAATTATTCATTGCCACACTTATTTTTCTTTAATATGGTTAATTAATATAAGATATAAGAGATATGCCCAAATATTTTATATATGCATTGTATTTTTTGTATTTTTATTTTTGTTTTATATTATTTAATTATGACTTCATGGGTTAACACATTTAACCTAAAAGGTTGAATTGTTGATATACTACCAAATAGTAAAGCACTTTTCATTATCAATAAAAAGTTATAAACAATTCTTGTTTTCATGTTTAATTTTTAATATGATTAATATAAAATAATAGAGATATTTCCAAATGTTTTTTTATAGAATTATTTTTTTCAATTTTTATATTTTATCCTTTTTCTAACTTTTATTATTTAAGTAGGAGATCAAGGGCCGACACATATATGACCCAAAAGGTTGAACTATTGACCCGCCACTAGGAAAACGATTTCATTTTTGGGTTGACTTGACATTTTATATTTTATTTCTAACATCAATAAAAATAACTATTATTTATTTTCTTTAATATGATTAATATAAAATATTAGATAATTGCCTAAATGTTTTTTGCAAAATTTTCGTATTATTACATAATATTATTGTGTTGTTTAACTTTTTTTTTCATTTTTTATTTAATTATGACATCAAGGGTTAACACATTTGAGTCAAAAGGTTGAATTGCTAACCCACCACCACAAAAATAATTTTTATTCTTGGTTTGCTTTTAAACTAACATTTCATTCCAACATCAATAGGAAAGATTATTATTTATCACACTTAATTTTCTTTAATATGATTATAAAACATTAGAAATATGCATCATATATTGACCCATTTGACCCAAATGGTTGAATTGTTTAGGCCCTGTTTTGTATCCATCTAAGAATTGTTTCTAGCGATTCTCCAAATGGGATTGTCATTTGGGTTTGACTTATCTTGAGAATCGCTCTATTTTTTATGGAATTTCCACTCCAAAATCATGATTTTCGGAATCCATAAAAAGAAACTTCTAAGATGAAGATTCTCATTCTTATAGTTCTCGTCTCTATTATAAATATGAACATGTGTGCCCATGTTTCATGTACAAAACATGGGCACTTCAGTAATTTCACAAGAAAAACATGAGAGACCTTGACAAAAGCCCCTAAATCCTGTCGTTTGGGCATGTTCTTCTCCAATGGCTCTCTGTGACTCTTTTCATAGGCAACCAATAGGCTTTCAGGTAAAAATCTCTATTTTCGTGTTTTCTTCAAGTTTTTGGTTTCGTTATTTATACATTCATTTGTTTTTTTTTTCTCTCTTTCAATTGTCATCCTCTTTGTTTTGATTTTTCCAGACATTTTTGAGATTTATCGTGTTGATATGTTAAATCTCAAAATTCACCATTCTCTTGAAACCTCCAAGAGGCTTCAAATAATCTAGGTAAATTCATTTCTCCATTTTTTTTTCTTAAAGATTTTTGCTTTGTTGCTCATATACCTTTATTTTGTTTCCCTTTGCCACCATTTTCTCTGTTATTCCAAACGTTTCCTTCTCTATTATTCCCTGCTTTTAGCGTTATAGAACACCAGAAAGAGATCATTGAAAACCCAGTGGGCAATTTTAGATGATGGCTTTTGGATCTTTTTGCTTTATGCTTTATGGTTGTAATGTCTTCCCTAATGATATTAAGCTGTGTGGATTTTCCGACTGCACACTAGCATGATTAGATATGAACTTCTGGTGTGTGGTATCATTGCTATATGAACAAATTTAACAGTTTGGTTTACACAAGTTTTTTTCTGACTTTGATAGTAAATCCATGACCGAATTTAATGATACCTTAAATGGTACTAATGGAACTTGCTTCGTAATAGTACGGTGGAGTCTCTTGATTGTGGAAAAATTTCTGTAATTCTAAATTTTAATTTATTTGTTCTTGTTATTTTCTTGATTAAGAATGGATGCACCTCCTACAAAATAAAATAATGCAAAGCAAATGTCTTGATTGACATGATTTTATGTATTTTTCATTTAAAGAATTGATATGAGCAACCTGAGAAACAAGAATCAAATGAATGTGCCAAATGCATCTACAAATTCTCTACATGAGAATTCTCAAATTCTATTCTTTTCTAAAAGGATTCTAAGACTCAATTTTCAAGATCCATGCTAAATGGGGCTTTATTGGCCACTAGGATGGAAGAACAGTTCATTTTTTTTGGTCAATTTTAAAAAACATGTATTTTATGCCATTAAAAATATTGGATATAGATCCAATTGATAGAATTTATTGATGAAAAGAATAGTTTAAATATAGTATTTAATGAGAGAATAAGAGTTAACAGCCTAAATATAAGACTTAATGAATTGAATGAGTAGAAATGTAGTAGTTTAACTTGCATTTTGTGTGTCACACTTAGAGAGAGACCAAATTCAAAAAAGGGGTATTATAGTTAAAAATAAGATTCAATGAATATTAATAGGAGTTAATAATAATACCTTTAATATAAGACTTAATCAATGGGGAATTTAAATGAGGAGAAAATGGTTATTCAAATTACATTTCTATCCTTAAAATTAAAGTTAATTTGCAACCCATTCACAATTTAATAGTAGTATAAATTTATATGCATAGATATTAGTAATGTTAATTTGCAACCCATGACCCATTGACCAGGTCAAGCAGGTTAAAGGTTTAGCTACTTGGGATGGTGGATTGCTGTCAAATCAATGGTTTTTTGATTGAGGGTGGATTTAGGGTTAACCCAAACTAGAATCATGATTGGGAGATGGGTTGAATGGTCTAATCGATAGGGGAAATTATGGAATAGTTTGTTATTTAGGATACAATATGGGAACCATGGTTTTTCAAAACTGGATTGGATGATCGGACCGGAAAAATTGGGAATTGGTCAGGTGACCGGTTTTAGTTTTCCCCAAAACCGAATTTTCTTCAAAAGCCGTTGATTTTGGTCAGCAAACCGCTGACCCGAGCGGTTAACCGTTCGAGTGGTTTTGACCGTTTTTTATTTTTTTATATTTTTTGTCAGAACGGGCCGACTCTTTGGTTCGAACAGTCGAATCATTCGACCCGATAACTGGACCCCTAACCCGTTCGATCTCCTGGTCAATTTTAAAAACCATGATTGTAACACTTGAGACAAACTTTATGAAACACACTAGCTAATTGTATATGGTTCTAGAAACCCATGACACGGAATTTCCCATCAAATAAGCAATACAATAGATTAGCCACATTATCAGTTACCCAGCCTACATCGGCTGTGTAGACCCTTATAAATTGGACCATTTCTCTTCGAGTCTTACATCAACTATGGAAGTTTGAAATTTCTTAATTAAAATAAATAGTTTTGTTTTGCATTGCATTGTAATATAGCTTGTGCTTGATACTGTTGCTATTTCTTTATACATAGTATGTGTTTGGTTCCGTGGGCATTTATGGACAGGGTGTTTATTTGCACCTTTTCACTTTAAATGTTTATTTATACTTTTTCACTCTAAACGTTTTTTACTTTAAATACTTCATATTTTTGTTGTTTGGTTGAACTTCACCTTAAACGTTTTTTACTCTCCACCTCAGATTAATACCCATTAAAGTGTGCCACATCAGCATTTGGTTTCAAGAAACGCCCGTTGGGGGAGACAAGAATTTGACGTTTCCCCAAATTCCCCATGCACAAAAATCAAAGCATTTCAGTTTTCTACCATTTATTTGATAAACGATGAAACCAAACAATTGTTTCATTTTGCTTTATCCGCAAAAAATGCCAATGCCTATGTGGTGCTGGTGTGATGGCGTTTTTTTAATAAATGCCAATGGAACCAAACATCTCCATAAATGTTTCGGGTTGATCAATAGAAATTGATGTGAAGTATGAGTTGTCATGTCACATAATCAGAAACGTTTTGAGTTGATCAAAACAAATAGCTATTGTTATATAAAATGTCAAATGTGGTGTTTCAAATCTAAATGGCAATATATCAGTCCCTCACATGCTTTTTTTTTTCAATTGAATTGAATTGAAGAAATGTTTTAAAAACCGACCTAGAGGCTGAACCATTTTTTCTCTAGGTCATAAGTCACTGGTTCGATCAGCTGGATTGAACGGTTCAGACCATGCCACATCATTATACACACACACACACACACACACATATATATATATATATATATATCTGTGTGTGTATGTGTATAAATATATATTTTTGCAATAAATAGTGTATAAATATGTTTTAGATATGTTATATGTATTATTTTATATTTAATTTATATTTTTAAATTCAGTTTTTATTTTTTTATTTATACAAAATATTAAAAATTACAATTTGAGGCCAAAAATAGAGTTTTTTTTTTTTGTGAAATAGCGGGGCAAGGCGCATATAGCTCCTTAGGATGCATAGATCTCGAAAAGTTACCAAAATAAAAAAAAAAATCACCCTAATCAAACAACTGGAGTACAAAGTTATGACCTCAAAAGTTTGTATATATTGAATATAGAACCCGGGACTCAATCACCAGATCAAACAGGTTAACGGTCGAATTGACCGAATCAAATGATTCTTGACCAAGGACTGTTTGACGGATAAACTGAATCCAGAAAACTGATTGAGTGATGGTTTAAACGATTCGACCGATGGAATCAACGGCTGGTTGAAAACTTTGAATTGAAGTGACTCCCTTGTAATTTGTATGGCGTGATAAATCATATTTTTCATCATTTTGATTTGATGAACCCCAACCCCGATAAAAGGGCAATCGTATTCGTACTAAAGACAACCATAATTTATACTACCCAAATTCGTGGGCCGAAATTTCTGACTGCCACATAAGCTGCCACGTGCAATGGTTGCATAGATCAATGTGCCATAAAACCCATCATCTAGAAAATTAAAGACATAGCAAGGGTTTGCTTGTAATTACAAGTATATATAATTATGTTTTAATCAATTCGCATTTCCTTCATTCCTTCCGGTGCAAGTCCTCTAGAAACAGTTGTTTGTAAAGGTTGTGGGGTGGGAGTGGGGAGGCAGGCTTATGCTACCTATAACTATAAGAGGGCGCCCTTGCTGTATTGTAGAAAGAAAGGGAAATACTGCAATAGCTTGAGCTAACGTACGTACGTGTGGTTTCGATAGTTCTAAAACTCAATCAACCTTACTCTTGGAAGAAAATGCATGGACCGCAGTTCACAAATTCGTAAGTTGGGGGCTATCACCAATGTACAGAGTGGTGCTTTAAGCCAAACATGAAAACATTGTGTTCCTGCAAAGCTTGAGATCAACCCAAACCCAAACTAGCCTTCTCTACCTTATCTCTCTCTTTCTCTCTCATCATCATCTTCGTCTTAGCTTCTATGTTATTCAGAGGTAGGTATGCATGGTATTTTGGTCTTTCTCCTACTTCCACAACGTAACACGGGTCCTTCACCTTCACCAAGTCTGATGATGATGCTGGTGCAGACCAGAGTGAGACTAGATGCCCGCCGGTTCAGTCCTGTGTCCATCCAGTCCAACTGGGTACTCAGTACATTGGTTCGTTATACTAGGAAAAGCCTGAACCCAAAAGAATATCATGCATATGCATGCTGTCCGGTCACCCATTTCCACGTGGCGACCTTCCTTGCATTAGCCACGTGTCGTGTGTGTCGACTCCACAATTCTAGGGTTGATGCATGGAAACTATGTTTACAAATTACAATCACTTCTGACGTACGTACTGCATGCATTTAGGATTTTATCACTTCGATTTCATATAGTTTCTGACCAATTGTCTTGTTTGCTTCACTAAAGGCACTAATTATAGACAACTCAAGATCAGTCAATTAAGTAGACCAAGACAATGAAGACCCACAGATTTTTTTTATCTCTCACAATCACAATCACAGTAACGTTAATAATCATCTCCAATATTTTTTACCAAGCTCAAGCACAGGCTCCTATAACCGAAGCAAGTCTTCAGCAAGTAGCCGCTTCTCTGCAAATGTTCGTCGATGAACTCCCACAAATGCCTAAACTCTACGGTTATTCCATGCTATATCGCCTTCCCATTCCCTCAAGTCTCACCATCGGCATGTATCAAAAGAAATGGGTACTAATTTCTTCTTGATTCACACAGTAAGTATTCCTCCCTCCTGCTTGTTTCTCATGTCTGATTAACTTTTTCTTTCTTCACTCTGCTACAGAAGTTCCACCGTGACTTGCCTCCGACGACAGTCTTCGCGTATGGAACCTCCCGAATGACCGCCACTGTTCCCGGTCCCACAATCGAGACACTCCGAGGAGTACCAATTTATGTGACGTGGAAAAATCATCTCCCTCAAAATCACATACTCTCATGGGATCCAACCGTCCCCACCGCCATCCCCAAGAACGGTGGCGTCCCCACCGTCGTCCATCTCCACGGCGGGGTCCACGAGCCACAAAGTGACGGCAGCGCCTTTGCCTGGTTCACCTCCAACTTCAGAGACACCGGACCCGCCTGGTCCCAGCAGACCTATACCTACCCCAACGTCCAACACTCCGGGAACCTCTGGTATCACGATCATGCGCTTGGCTTGACACGCGTTAATCTACTAGCTGGCTTGGTCGGTGCGTATGTCATCCGTGACCTTTTCTTGGATGACTATCTCAACCTCCCACGTGGTCCCGAATTTGACCGACACTTGATCGTTTTCGATAGAAGCTTTTCCACTGATGGATCCATCTACATGAACTCCACCGGCGATAACCCGTCAATCCATCCCCAGTGGCAACCGGAATACTTCGGTGACGCCATTATCGTTAACGGCAAAGCCTGGCCGTACCTTAAGGTTCAACGTCGGAAATACCGCTTCAGGATAATAAACGCCTCCAATGCACGATATTTCCGATTCTCATTATCCAACGGTCTCCCGTTTGTCCAAGTGGCATCTGACTCATCCTACCTGCCCTCACCCGTCCAGACATCAAATATACTCCTTGCACCATCTGAAATTGCAGACATGGTCATTGACTTTTCAATTTCTACGACGAAAGAGGTGGTGTTGACCAACGATGCCCCATATCCGTACCCGACTGGTTCAGCCGTGGACCAGCTAAACGGGAACGTCATGAAATTTATAGTTGCACGGAGACGACCGTTCTTGCCGGACAGATCAAATGTGCCGGCGAATCTAGTGAATTACCAAGCGGCGACAACAGAGGAGGCAGCACAGACAAGATACATAGTGTTGTATGAGTATACCACCGATGCCGGGACTCCCACACATCTCTACATTAACGGGAAAAGATTGATGGATCCGGTGACAGAGACACCAATATCCGGCACCACTGAGGTGTGGGAGGTGATTAACTTGACTGGCGATAATCACCCAATGCACCTGCATTTAGCTTCATTACAGGCAATCAAGGTGCAGGAGCTGGTGAATTTGGAGGAGTTCGAGGCTTGCATGACAACCAAGAATGATGCAGTCGCCTGCAATGTGGTCGCCCATGCAACCGGGAAGTTGCTTGACATACCTCCTTACGAGAGAACATGGAAGAACTCTGTGAAGATAGAGCCCGGATACCAGACGACGGTGGTCGTCAAGTTTAATCTGGTTGAGAACGGCGAGCCTTATCCGTTCGACGCTACCGCAGAACCTGGATATGTCTACCATTGTCACGTACCAATCTTTTTTCTACTCAGTTCCTCTTCACATATAAGTGGAATAATACAGACCTTTTTTTTTCTGTCAAATGGATATAAACGAAACAAACAGAGCTCACATCTGCTGCGACTACCAGCTGCTCACACGGTAGATTGGGTTCAAGCAAACCAACTCATATATACTCACTGAATAATTTTTTGTTTGATTTCTATTTGTGCAGATTCTGGACCATGAGGACAATGCTATGATACGACCATTGAAGCTGCTAGTTTCATAGAAAAAATTGGCTAAGAGAACGTCTACAGTCTACTTGTTCTAAAGTGTACAAATTCAGTACGTTGTATATATAAATGATGTTTGGTATTCTAAAGGATGTAATTTAACGCCACAAAGCGCACTCAGAACAAAAGTTCTGATTGATTAAAGCCCCAAATCTGAACAGTTAGGTTCATATGGTATTGTTTTTATAGTGACTATATTTTAGAGGAGAAAAACCTATTATGATAGGATTCAGACCCATGTCCAACATATCGAACAAGCTGTATAAAATTTTAGGGTCCATTTGGTTCACACCCAGAACCGGAATTGGAATCGAAATCCCTGAAAATTGGAATTAGAATGTTTTATTCCTCCTTCCTACCTGTTGGCTGTTGGTTTAGATGGGTATTAGAATCGGAATCCACTGGAATTGACAAACAGGGGAAGACCTTTCCAGGAAGAATGGAAATAGGATTCTGATCCGCCCAACCAAACGGTAGGAATTAAAATGAACCATTATATTCCAATAATCCCGGTTCGCGATTCCTTATTCCTGGGAATTAAACGGACCCTTACTACTCGAGGGTTACGCCTCAAAATGCTCTGTAAATTACCCCTCACCACTATATGACACCCAACTGTCTGCCTACCCTCTACCTTACCTTTTAAAATCTTGTTTAGGGCTTGCGCGTGCTTCGGACCTTCTTCAGAGGTCAGAATTATAATATAGATTCGACCCGGATTTATCACAGTGCTTGAGTTCAATCCGGTTCGATCGGATCGATCAGAATCCGATATTAATATAATGGATTCTAGGTCAAACTCACCATGCCGGTACTTTTTAAGTGCAATCCATTTAGAGCCAAACCAGGATCCGACCCATCTGGATTGGATATGGTCCATATTTTTACTGATTAGCTCGCCATCGCTAGTCAGATCTGTTTTGGGTTTTAAAATGGGATAGAATAACAGAAGTATCATATGAGATATGAACATTTTCGGATTCTCGACGCTTTGTTCAAACGCCAAAGCACTTGTACCAAACTCTCCACTGAAATCAACTTGGTTTTCCTGCCGGGTGTCGGGCCAACTAACGAATCCAATTTTGCTTCTTCTTTAAGACCCTGCAGAATGGAGCTTATAAGCTGATTAACGAATCCAACTTGGTTCATATGGCCTCCTGAAACTATTTCTTCCGAGCGTGACTCGAGAAATAATAAAAAAATCCATCCGGAATTGCTCCATGTACACTTCGATCACAGTACTTGGGGCTGATTGATCACCAAAGTAAATGTTTACTTTGTTCATAGAAATTCCCTCTTCAGTCCTCATCAGTCCTTGAGGAACCTATCAAATCATCATATATCATAGTTAATTTTTCATGTCTATAATATAATAGACCTAAAAAGGTAATTTAATATTAAACAAAAGTGAAATTGTCTAAAACTTATTATGAGTTTTTAGCATTTATCATAAACTCATCACAACTTTTCGAAATGTCTAAAACTCATCATGTCACTAACTTGACGATTTACAGATTAACGGGTGTTAATATATTATTGATGTAGTGCGATCCGGGCATTCTTAGTTGACTGTTGACTGGCTCCTTATTGGCAACGAACGACACTTGAGAAGATGAAAGGAAGGATTCCCGGGGATTTACCCGGTGGGAATACTTCGATGCTTAAGTTAGTACTGTATATGAGAAGTAAAGAGAAAAACAAAGGCTAAGAGTAGAGGTCGCGCTTTATCACTATATTCGAGCGATTAGAGGTCTTTTCCAGAAAAGTTTCTCCTCTGCCCTGAGGGCTTTTATAGGGGTGCTTTTGTGAGATCGAACATAACTGCCACTGGGCCCCTACCACAGCCGTTACCTGCCAGGGCTGCGCAGGTGGCCGTTGTGACGTACTCCTTGCCCGGGTAAGTGGCACGTCCCCAAAGTGACAGGCACGCCTCCGCCTGCTGAGAGACGTGAGTGCAGACTGTCGAAAGGACAGGGACGTGGCGCAGTCTGATTGCTACGGCCTGTTGGATAGAAGCTTCCTGAGGAATGCTCGTGCGGCCCATTCGCGAGCTACTTTGCAGCAAGCTCGGAATACTTTAGGAGTGCCCTTAGTAGAATTGGTCCTCGGGATGACTTGTCTGCTTGGGAGCTCGGGTGAGCTGGTTTTCTTAGCTTGCGACCTAAAGTTGCTTCGGAATATCCCTTTAGAGGTAGCTCGGGGAACCCGGAGCTCGCGTCGTGGCGAGCTCCTCCTTTTGCGTGCTACGATGTAGCGAGCTGCTTTATGGGCCCGTTACTTAGTTGTACTGGACCGCAATGTTGAGTTGTCGCTTACGTCGAATCAGTGTCCACGTGTCGTCGTTTCATAGGTCAGGTCAAATCATCCTTCATCAATTTCCCCCCACTCCTTGGGCTAAGAGTATCGCCTTAGCGCGGGGAGTTTATGAAGCGCGATKRACTGATTTRACCRAAATTCAAACTTGATTGACTATCCCCATTAAATGCATTTGCGGGAATCAAGAGATCTTCTGACTTCCCTGACTTTTCGGATTCCGAAAAGGTGCTGAGGTGGCCTTTAATTCCGAACGTCGTGCGGCTGCTACTACCTTAATCGTAGAAGATGTGCCGCCAATCGCCTTCGGTTTTCAGAAGGCGTGCGGTCAGGGCGCCCGCAAACCATTGGATCTGCTTTGATCTGGGCCGTCGGTTTGAAAGGATGGGAGTTACCAATAGGGGGCCCCTTGGGCCCTATCTCCTTCCACGCCATCTTGTTGTCTTTGGACTCTGAGGTCGCGTACTTCGCCTAGTCTACTCAAGTTCCTCAGTCTGCTCCGTTCCATCTACTCTGGTGAGTCCCAATCGCCGTCAGCCATGTCTGGGTACCCACGCCATACCTATCATAGGGGCGATAGCCAGGATGATGATGCTCCCTCGAGCTCGGGAGGAGCCTGGGAGCAGATCCTAGAGGCTCGGGAGGCCTCTGGCGACATGGCGTCTACTTCTAGGGGGAGGGAGTTTGATACCTTTGGCCCTTAATGACAGCGGAGAGACTCAGGTCTCTGATCCGCTACTTTCGCCTCCCTGGGGACCTGGTTTACAGCCTCCCTACTGGCAACTTCCCCTGTGAGCATGGTCCCAATGATATAGTAATCTTTCAAGAACAGCTCGAGGCTGGCTTGCGTCTCCCCCTGCACCCCTTGATAATGGAGGTGCTAAATCATTTCAACGTCACTATTGACCAGTTTCCCCAACGTCGTTCGAAACATGGTTGGGACTATATCCCTGTGTCACGAGTACTACCTCCCTTTGGACCTTGACATTTTTGTCTCTATCCTTTGTATAAAGAACGTTGCTCCTGGGGTTCCTCCGGAGAGGCGCTTTTATTACCTCTCTCCCGGTCGCGGCTATAAGCTCTTGTATGAGCTGCCGAATAAGATTCCCGCCTGGAAGCGGGACTACTTTGTGGTCCATAACCCCGATGGGTGGCCCTTTCCCACTGCTTGGAGAGGCGCCATCCAGGACCCCAGGGCCGAGCTGGACCCTGAGATTTGGAAAATGTTGCTGTCCTGGGCGTCGGTAGGCTTCCTTTGCTCGGGCTACTTGGCCGAGGAGAAGCTCGTGCAGGCAGTTTTGAGCCCGGGTAGGTCAGCCTTTTAGGTCGCGTAGTGTCTTGTGACTATTGTGTAATGTATTTTGTTTCTTGTTGGACTAATATCTTGTGGTCTTTTGGCAGCCATAACGTCTAGTGCCGATACGTGCCGCCTTCTCTTGGGCAGCCAGAGACGCCAGGTGAAGAGGACACACCCCGACCGGACCCCTTCTTCGGGAAGCACTGAGTTCGGGTCTGTTGAGCCGGTCCTGCCCTCTCCTCCACCCAAGGTTCCGATGCCCCCTCCTGAGGGGACTAGTGGGATTAACCCTGGGGGAAACGAGCTCCCTCAGTCGGGGGAGGTCCCCTTTAACCCCCTTCAGCCCCGTCCTTACCCCAGCTCCCAGTGGGAAACTGGGAAGGGGTAAATTATTATCTGGTAGCTCGCTGGAGGAGTCGGAAGGCAATCAATAATGACGAGATCGCTCAGTGGGGAAACATGGAGCTCGGGGATCTCTCCGCGTTCGCCTCTGCCCATTGCATGGTGGTAAGTGGCCTTTTTCCCTCTCTCTCTTGTTTTGCCCTTTTCCGCTGTCTTCTAATCTTCTTTTTCGTCGATAGGTAAATTCCTCCATCCATGCCATGGCTCTCCAGACGCGCATCCATCGTGTCGACGTCCTCGACCAGCGGGCTGCAAACCAGAAGCTCCAGGTCGAGCTCGACCGGATCCGGGGCAAGCTCCATCACACCCGCAAGGGGAGCGAGTCTCAGGAGCTACTCGTCCACGACCAGGAGGCTCAAATCGCTCGGCTTACTAAAGAGAGCACACGTTATAGGGAGGAATCGTCGAGGATGGCGGGGGAGAGGGAGCTCCTCAGGCAGCAGGTGCGGGATTTGGAGTCCACTCTTCTGAATCGGACCTGAAACTTTGATCAGATGGTGGAGGCTAAGCGAGAGAAAGTGGTCTGGGATTTCAAAGACTCCCAGGAATTTCATGACCTCCAGGCGGAGTATGGTTCGGGTTCGTACCGCTCAGGGTTTAAGCTCTGCCAGTGGCTGGTTTGGTAGAAGTTCTCCGGGCTCAACCTCATTGGCATTACTATGAAAGGTCTGTCCCCTGAGACAGCAGACCAAGCGGATGAAGAGGAGCCTGATTCTCCAAAGGATGAGGAAGCAGATCCTTGAGGTGGCGTTTCTCTGGGCTTCTGTGGCTTCCGGGTGCCGTAAACCCGGTCTTTCACAAGTTTTCGATTGGGCGGTTGTGCCCTGTGATGATCAAACCTTTCCCGAGCTATTTAGCTCGGTTACTGCGCTTGTTATTTTCCTTTTCTGCTCTTTCTTCTCTTTTTTTTTTGACAATGAAAGTTTCTTCCTTCTTCTGAGTATGATGAACTCCCTTTATTCTTGCTAAAGCGATATCATCATT